TTCAAGTTCATGACGTCACCGAACACCTACTCGCCCCAGATAAGACCCCAACAAGAGGCCAGAGTCTAACTTGCGCTTGTTTACGGTGCACTGGTGAGAAGTTACTCACAGGAGCATCTCTGGAAAATCTCACCCTAGCATGGATGACAACTTCCCGGTCGCTACACAGACCAGCCTCCCTTTAACTCACCTTTCCGCGTCTACACACTCTGGTACTTCCCAAGACCACATGCCGTTGGCACAGAATTTCAATCAGCTGGCTAGGATGTGCAAGAGGGAGTGGCTGGGACCTCCGTGAGGATCCAGCGACCCTGGGAGACCCTTTCCTCCATGAGGGAATGTCTACAGGCGCCACCTTGAGAGCCCACTGCCAGCGGTCACAGCTACTCTGATGAGGATGACAATGGTTGCTGTACTTGGGCACAGGGCCCCACAACACCATGGGAAAGGACTGGGGCAGCTGCCTTCTCTAGAGATGCTTGCCATAGCAAAGGTAGTGGGAGCGAGGTAGAGCGTATGACTCTCTGCTGTCCACACTAGGTAACAAGCTCAGACACTGGGGACTTTCATGGGGATGCTAACCATTGCTGTCAGTATGATAAGAAACGACTCGGGGTGGGGGGGGCTGGAGAGATGGCTCAGAGGTTAAGAGCACTGGCTGCTCTTCCAGAGGACCTGAGTTCAATTCCCAGCAACCACACAGTGGCTCACAATCATCTACAATGTGATTTGGTGCCCTCTTCTGGCCTGCAGGCTGAACACTCACTGTATACATAATAAATAAATAAATCTTAAAAAAAAAAAAAGGAAAGAAAGAAAAAGAAAGGACTCTGAGCTGGGCAATGATCCTGGACGGAGCTCCCAGGGAAATAGAGAGGCAAAGCTGCACCTTCACTGGGCTGGTCTGCCCCTGGTGATGTCCGGTCCTCTCGGATGCCAGCCCCTTCTGTGACCCTCCGAGACCTCCAGCAGAGGCTGAGCCCCGCTCAGTCCCAGCGCAGCCATGGCAGAGGCCTCCCAGGGTGGCCCGAGTGGGAGACACCAAGGAGCTCACTTCCCCTGTGTAGATGACCTGAGTCTGCCCCAGTTCCACAGCCTCTGCAGAGCCGCTGACCTCTCAGACTGAGTGACCCTTTGTCCACATGGAGGCAATGCTGTCCCAAGCTTTGTAAGGCAGTCCGCTCATGTAGGCTCCATCCACTACACGCCAATAGCAACCACCTCAGTTGTGGCGGCAACCAAAAGCATCACTAGACATGGCCAAGAGACCTTAGGCTAGGTGAGGCAGTCTCCCTTGCTGAGAACTTCTGTCCCTCCCTCCCTCCCTCCCTCCCTCCCTCCCTCCCTCCCTCCCTCCCTCCTTTCCTCCCTTCCTCTCTCTCTCTCTCTCTCTCTCTCTCTCTCTCTCTCTCTCTCTCTCTCTCTCTTTCTTTCTTTCTTCTTTTCTTCCTTTCTTCCTTTTTTCCAGACATAGTCTCACTATGCAGCCCTGGCCTGGAATTTGCTATTGTAGATCAGACTTGAACTCACAAAGATTCACCTGCCTCTGCCTCCCAAGCCCTATATTTTTTTCCATATGTAGAAATTTGAGTCATATTCTTATATATCATTTGGCAGAAAGGTAAAGTAAAGGTGGATCAAATGCCTTGAACAACAACAACAAAATAACAAAAAGACCCGAAACACCAAAACTTGGAGGAAGAAAATCAAAACACAATACAGGCACAGAAGGGAACTTCTGACGGGACTCTAACTGCTCCGGATGTAAGAGGAAGGACTGGCATACAGGACTGAATCAAATTCAAGATGTTCTGCCCTGAAAAATAAGCAATCGACAGAGTGAAGGGAGTGCCTGAAGAATGGGAGAAAGATCTCCACCAAATACTTATCCATCTGGTTAGATTTTTGTCACCTTGACACAAGCCAGAGGCATCTGAGAACAGGGAACCTCAATTAAGAAAATGCCCCCAACATATTGGCTTGTGGGGCATTTTCTTGGTTAGTGGTTGATATGGGGAGGCCCAGCCCAGGGTGGGTGGTGCCAACCCTGGGCAGGCAGTTACAGGCTCTATAAGAAAGCGGAGTGAAAAGCTCATAGGACCGAGTCAGCAAGTAGTGGTCCTCTGTGGCCTCAGCGTCAGCTGCTGCCTCCAGGTTCCTGCCCTGCTTTGCCAAGAGAAATAAAGAGTGTGTTCACTTGCTGGAGTCACCAACCTGCCCTGCACCTTGATTTAAGCTAGGAAGAGTCACAATCCTGATTTGTGAAGCACAGAACTACAGGAGTTCATGCTGTTTCAGCCACCAAATACCTGGCAGGCAAGTCACAGCAGCAACAGGAACCGGATACAAGCATTAATCGTTATCAAATGCAACACGGAAATGATTTCCTGAAATGGGTCTCATGGCCTTCAAACTTATTTATACTAACTTTAACAGTTTCAAGTAAAATGTCTGCTTCCTTAGAAATCATATTTGACACATTCTTTTTTTAAAAAATATTTTCACATGTTTTACCAGAGTAGGTACACCAAAAAATACAAGAGTATTCAGAACATCTAGCATTACTTGCAAAACAGTGAAACTGAAATATTTTTCAATGTTAACAAAACAAAATGACTTACAGAAATGCATGTTTGAAAAGTAAGCATGACCCAGAAGACTACATTTACTATTCTAATTTTACAGAGTTCAATTACTTAATGATTCACATGTAACAGAAAACCATTTTTTTTATTTATTTTTCTATTATCAGCTTGATACAGTATAAATTCTTATCATAATAGTGAAATGTTTCATTGAGCCAAGCCCTATATTTTTGTTGTTATTTTGTTATTAATTATGCACGGATGCTTTGCATGCATGTACATCTGTGCATCATGTGAGTTCCTGGTACCCTCAGAAGCCAGAAAAGAGAATCAGATCCCTGGAACTCAAGTTGCAGATGGTTGTGTGAGCTGTCATGCGGGGTGCTGGGAATTGAACCTGAATTCTCTGGAAGAGCAGCCCCTGATTTTTTATTTTAAATTATGTGTCTATGTGTGGGTATGTGCACATGGGTTGCAGGTAGCCAGGAAGGGCAGAAGTGGGCTTCAGGACCTCCGAAACTGAAGTTGTGGGGGTGATTTATAAGCTCCCGTGTGGGTCCTCGAAAGGACAGCAAGCACTCTGAACTGCCGAGCCATCGCTCCAGTCCCCGTGTCTCATTTTCTGAGACACCACTGCCAAATGATGCTCTCCAAAGGGGCCCCATCGTTCCCGGTCTCCCTGGCCGTGCTCAAGGGGTCCCAGTCTTCACTTGTTCACTATACCTTGTCATCACCCCTCCCATCTGTGAGTAGGAGGGGGCAAAGTCGCTTGGTGTTCTTGACCTTCTGAAAAATATCCAGGCCATTTCTGTTTGTTTTCTGGGGCAAGGTGTCATTTAACCAAGGCTCTCTGCAAGCATGATGCTTGCACTGTGCTTGGTCCTGGAGAGACGACTCCACAGTCAGGAGCATTTGTTGCACAATAGTGGGGACCAGAGTTTGGATCCCAGCATCCCCGTGAGAAGCCAGTCACTTGGCAAATGTCTGTAACTCTAGCTCCAGGGTTCTGACACCTTCCGCTCCCCCAACACACGCAGCTTACTCACGCAAACACAGACAGGTGCACATATAAATAAAATAAATCCTTTAGATTTATGGGGCTGGAGAGATGGCTCAGCAATTAAGGGCACTGGCTGCTGCTCTTCCAGAGGTCCTGAGTTCAGTTCCCAGCACCCACATTAGGTAGCTCACAACCATCACCTACTCCAGTCCCAGGGGATCTGATGTCCTCTCCCGGCCTTGGTGGACACTGCATACACCTGCCCAGACATATATGCAGATATGACACCCATACACATTTTTTAATTAAATAAGGCTGGGCATGGTGGTACACACCTTTAATTCCAGAACTTGAGAGGCAGAGGCAAGAAGATTTCTGTGAGTCTGAGGTTAGCTTGGTCTACACAGTGAGTTCCAAACTAGCCAGCACTATATAGTAAGACCCCATAGATAGATAGATAGATAGATAGATAGATAGATAGATAGAATAAATGAGTACTTAAAATAAATGGGGCCAGGTGGTGGGGGCATATGTCTTTAATCCCAGCATTCGAGAGGCAGAGACAGGTGGATCTCTGTGAGTTCGAGGCAAGCGAATCTACAGAGTGAGTTCTAGGACAGCCAGGGCTACATACAGAAATCCTGTCTCTGGGTGGGGGAGGGTAGGAGGCGACTCAGTGGCACCAGCTGCTCTTGCACAAGATCTGGGTTTGAATCCCAGCACCCACATGGTGGCTCACAGCCATCTGTAACACCAATTCCAGGGCATCTGATCCCCCTTCTAACCTCTGTGAGCTCCTGCAAGCATGTGGTGTACAGACATACACTCAGGCACACACACAAATATGCATAAAAGTAAGTAAGTATTGTCTTAGTCAGGGGGTTCTGTTGCTGCAACAAAACACCATGACCGAAAAGCAAGTTGAGGAGGAAAAGGGTTTGTTCAGCTTACACTCCCACATTGCTGTTCATCACTGAAGGAAGTCAGGACAGGAGTTCAAACAGGGCAGGATCCTGGAGGCAGGAGCTGATGCAGAGGCCATGGAGGGGTGCTGCTTACTGGCTTGTTTCCCCTGGCTTGCTCAGCCTGCTTTCTTATAGAACCCAGGACCACCAGCCCAGGGATGGCACCACCCCCTGTGGGCTGGGACCTCCCCCATGGGTCACAAATTGAAAAAATGCCTTACAACTCCGTCCTCTCTGATGGCTCTACCTTGTGTCAAGTTGACACACAAAACCAGCCAGTACAGTATGAAAAACTAAAAACCTCTGTGGCTGAAGAGGATCGGCTCCTGACCCCCCTGCTTCCACCTCCCCAACACCTGCTGCTGCCACCCGCCCAGCTTCAGTAACGTTTTAAATCGGGCTACTTAGGTTTTTTTTTTTTTTCTTTATCGAACAGAGCCCATTTATTCTGAGAACGGAATGGTGGCCTCCATAAACAGCAACAGGCTCAAGGCCAGGGGCGTGGGCCAACACCAAAACGCCCGCAACTACAAGAACCAGAACTTTGAGGATATTCGAGCAGCATGTCTAAGGAAGGGGGAACTGTTTGAGGACCCCTTCTTCCCTGCTGAACCCAAGTCTTTAGGCTTCAAGGACCTGGGCCCCAGCTCCAAACAGGTTCAGAACATCTACTGGCAGCGACCCAAGGTGGGCACTGGGAATGGGGAGGGCCCGGTGCCCTCCGAGCTGGGGGTGGTTCCGAACATACTTCCGTCAAACCTCCTAGTTTAATCCTGGGCTGGCACCCAAGCCTGGCTATCGTAGCCAAGCCGTGGTCAAATGGCTCGGGGTTCCCCCTACTGCTCACCTAGAACTCAGAGGAGCGAGGGAGGGCGGATGGGGCCCTTCACCTCTTGACAGACACTGACGCTCTTACTCCTTCACCATAGGATATCACGCATAACCCCCAGTTCATTACGGATGACTTCTCTCCTACAGACATCTGCCAAGGGGTCCTCGGTGAGTGGGGAACCATGAGCTGGCCTCCATGGGGAGAATGGGGAGGAAAGGATTGGGATGGGGGGCTACGGCATGGCTCTCAAACCTGGAAGCCTGGGACTCCCTAGACTCCACCTACCTCTGTTTCCCTGTTCCCTCCCCTTCCAAGAGATGACAGTCCGTAGGAGGGTCACGTGTGTCCTCTATGTCCCTTCGGTATCTGCTGCAGTCTGGTTTGGGAATAAATTGGGGTGGTATAGCAGATATTTGTTGCTTAGCAATAGGAGGCGGGTGGAGAGATGGCCCACAGTTAAGGGCACTTGCATACAAAATACTGAAAGACCAGAGTGCAGACTCCAACACCCAAGTACCAAGTCCATCATCCAAAATACCTTAAGCTCCAGCTCCAAGGAATCCAGCGCCCCCTGCTGGCCTCCATGTGCACAGGAATGCCCCTGCCCCCGCCCCCAGGCCACTGCATGTGCACTCTCAGACAGACACACAGACAAAAATAAATTTTTTTTTTTTTTAAGTTTCAAACCAGGCATGACGGTACCTACCTACAATTTCAGCACTAGGGAAAAAGGGGCAAAAAGGTCAGGAGTTCAAGGCCAACCTGGGGCCACATGAGCCGGTCTCAACCAACCAGTAAGCAATTCTGACCTCACAGGCTCTGTTGGGGAACCTCAGAAGCAGAGGTGTGGGGCTGGCTCAGAGTACCCTCATGAGACCACTGCTGAGGTCTGCTGCACTGTGGGACTTGGTCCTCTAAAGACTCGCCTGGGTCCAGGGCTGCACTGTTGAGATACTGCTGCACGTGGATGAGGTCTCAGTGTCTAGCTGGCTGTTGACAGGAGACTACACCTCTTCCCAGAAGCTCATCTACAGGGCTGCTTGAGTGTCCACACAGCATGGTAGCTGGCTCCCACTGAGTAGCCCAAGAGAAAACAAACAGAAAGCCCCAGGGGGCTTTTTGTTTATTTATTTGCTTATTTTTATTTATTTATCGAGACAAGGTCTCACTATGTAGCCTTAGCTGGCAGAAAACTATGTAGACCAGGCTGGCCTTGAACTCATAGAGATCCATCTGCCTCTGTCTCCCAAGTGCTGGAATTAAAGGTCTATGCCACCATAGCTGGCTCATTTATTTATTTTTTTACTTAGCATGAAACCCAGGGCCTTCAGCTAGGCAAGCATTTCACCACACGACCCCCCCCCCCCCCCCCCCCCCCCCCCCGCCCATCTGATCTCAGGTTCATACACACACACACACACACACACAGAGTAATTTCCACCATGTTTTATTAGGAACAAGCCCTGAATGTGGCGAATACTCAAGAGGCAAAGGATTATGGGGCTGGGTGTAGCTCAGTTGGCAGATTATTTGGCTAGCATGCATGAATCCCTTAGTTCAATACTTAGCATCACATAAAACTGGGTATGGGTGGCGTGTACCTATAATCCCACATTCTAGAAGAGGCAAAAGGATTATTCACAAGTTCAAGGCCAGCCTGGTCTCCAAAGTGAATTCCAGGTTAGCCAAGAGCCTAGAGAACTTGCCCGCCCCCAAAAAAGAGTGATGGGCAATTTAAGGTCATCCCCAGCTATACAATGAGTTCAGGGCTAGCCTGGGCTATAGGAGACCCTGTCTTTAAACAAACAAACAAACAAAAAAAGCCTGGGAATTGGGCCCCTATCATTTGAGGAGAAAAAACTCAAGTGTTTGTCATCTGTCCCAGGTGGTAGGACTTCTTTAGTCTGGGCCATCAAATAATGGAGCAATGGAGTCACATGACCACCTGCCCCCAGGCTCCAGGTTATCTCCTCGCTCCTAGCTGGTCCCGGCTCATAATCTCTTCCCACCCCTTCAGTGCCAGGGCAGGCACCAGGATCGCTTTATTTCCTATTTGTGGCAGGGGAAAGGGCACAAATAAGTCTAGCAAGAGGGCAAGGAGCACAATGGCCCCCGTGGCTCAGTGGGCCCGAGGGATGCTGGGTACAGGAGGAGGAAATGAGGGTTGTGCCCTTGTACTGATGATGACTGCAGCTGCCCTCCAAAGCCCAGAGACCACTAGTCATCACAAAAACTCCCCAGTGCATGAAAGCTTGGCCAGACCCTGGAGGACCACACAACAACCCCCATTACCTGGCCTCTCACTGAGAGCTGACCCTGAAGGACATGGCAGTGGATGACTGAGGCATGGCACTATGCTCCCATCTTCAGCTAGCTCCAGGGCTCATAGTGGGATAGAGACAGAGCCCATCATCTCCAGTAGAATGTGGGTGATGGGACAGACATCTTTCCATTTTCAGATTTAAAACATTTTTTTAAATTATTAATGTGTGTGTGTGTGAGAGAGAGAGAGTATGAACACATGTGTGTCTGGTGCCCTCAGAGGCCAGAAAAGGGCATCCAATCCCTTGGAGCTGGAATTACAGGTGTTTGTGAGATATCTGATGTGGGGGCTGCGACCTGAACTCTGGTCCTCATGGTAGAGCAGCAAGTGCTCTTAACCCCTGAGTCTTCTCTTCAGTCCCAAGGCATCTTTTTTTTTTTTTTTGGTTGGTTGAATGGGTTTTTTTGTTTCGTTTTTGCCATTTTTCTTTTTAATTTTCATATATGTCTTTCTGTATATGGGTTTGTGCACGTGAGTGCAGTGGCTGTAGAGGCCAGAAGAGGGCGCTGTCAGATTCCCTGGAACTAGAGTGACAGGTGGTTGCAAACTATCTGATGTGGATGCCCGCCTGAACTCAAGTCCTCTGAAAAGCAGGACGTACTCTTAACTGCTGAGCCATCTCTCCAGCTCTTGATTGGTTTTTTTGAGACCACGTCTCACTTTGTAGACCAGGTTGGTGACAAATGAACATCCTTTTAGCCGTCACCACTCAAATGCTGAGATCACAGAAGTTTTCTAGAGAGACATTTTTGGGCCTTTGGCCGCTACTCCAGCACATCCACAGGGTGGAATGAGACCCACAGAGAAGGGTTACTGGATATGTTCAACAGGTGGGAACTCTTCCTGAGAGAGAGCAGGATGCTATGCAGCCTGCCCAAATTCCCCAAACCAAAGTGTGTTACCCTGATTTGTGACTCCCTTGACTGAACAAATTCATGAGCTCACTGTCTGAGCTCTGCCTCAGTTTTCCCATTTGGCTCTTTTCCCAACTTCTCAGTGAAAAAGCAGAGGGACCCGGGCGGTGGTGGCACACGCCTTTAATCTCAGTACTCAGGAGGCAGAGGCAGGCAGATCTCTGTGAGTTTGAGGCCAGCCTGGGCTACAGAGTGAGTTCCAGTCTGGGCTACAGAGTGAGTTCCAGGACAGGCCCCAAGGCTACACAGAGAAATCCTGTCCTCGAAAAACCAAACCAAACCAGACAAAACAAAGAAAAGGCAGAGGGATCTCTTCTGGGGAGATCTGTGGGGCTGCTCCTCTGACTGGGGATCTGGGGCCTCCACACATGTGGGGCTGCTCAAGGAGCAACCTCTGCCTGCCTGCCTTTAAGGGGACTGCTGGTTGCTGGCTGCTATTGGCGCCCTTACCACGTGCCCCAAACTGCTGTACCGTGTGGTGCCCAAGGGCCAGAACTTCAAGAAAAACTATGCTGGCATCTTCCATTTTCAGGTGAAGGGAAGGGGGGAGGACAAAGGGAAAAGGGAAGGAGGGAGAGAGAGAGGGGGAGGGAGGAAGGGAGGGAGGGAGAGAGACTGAGTCACCGTTCTATTGCTGTGAAAAGGCACCATAGCCATGCTAACTCTTATAAAGGAAAGCATTTAAGTAGGGGCTGGCTTACAGTTTTAGAGGTCAGTCCATTACCATCACGGCAGGGATCGTGACAGCATGCAGGCAGATATGGTACTGACTGAAGATGCGGCTGAGAGACATGTCCTGATCCAAGGCAGCAGGAAGCAAGACCTTCTGGGCCTGGCTTGGGTGTTTTGTTTTTGTTTTTGTTTTTGTTTTGTTTTTGTTTTTTTAAGTTTTTATTTATTTATTATGTATACAGCGTATATGACTGCAGGCCAGAAGAGGGCACCAGATCTCACTACAGGTGGTTGTGAGCCACCATGTGGTTGCTGGGAATTGAACTCAGGACCTCTGGAAGAGCAGTTAGTGCTCTTAACCTCCGAGCCATCTCTCCAGCCCCCTGGCTTGGGTTTTGAAACCTCCAAGGCCACCCCCAGTGACACACTTCCTCCGGCAAGGCCACACCTCCTAAACCTTGTAAAACAGTTGTGCTCCCTGGTGGCTAACATCCAAATACATGAGCCTATGGGGGCCAATCTTATTCAAACCACCAGAGAGAGAAAGACCATGCATGCACTTACTTTGTTTTTCAAATACAACACTGATTGGGGTGACTTTTCAACTAATCTTCAGAGAAATACCTGCTTATGAAAGAAATCATGTAAGCTAATTTTTTTTAAAGTTCTGATGAAAATAATTAGCAGCTTGTGTCTCCCTTCCCATTCTCACTGTGACTGTGTGTCTGTGTCCATGTCTGTGTGTGCACACGCACGTGCTCGTGCCCAGGAACACGTTACATCGGTATCATGACACTGAATATCTCCACAATATAATTTATATGACCCTTTAACTGATATAGGAACAATTCTGAGTGTCATAAAACAGGGAGAGGATTTTAAGATATGAAAGCTCAACCTTCAGCTACTTTTTTTTTTTTCAGGATAAAGCCTCAGTCTAAAGATGGGTGGTGTTTTCTTTCTTTCTTTCTTTCTTTCTTTTTTCAATGATTTATTTATTTTTATTTCATGTGCAGTAGTGTTTTATGTGTATGTACATCTATGTGAGGGTGTCGAATCCCCTGAAGCTGGAGTTACAGACAGTTATGAGCTGCCATGTGGGTGCTGGGAATTGAACCTTGGTCCTTCGGAAGAACACCAGTACTCTTAACCACTGAGCCAAATCTCCAGCCCCATGGGTAGGGTTTTCTTGACGCTGGGGCAAGACCCAGGTTTAAGGGTGGAGGTGGGGGAATAGAGAGAGATTTTAGGGCTTTTGTGGACTTTCTCTTACATATTCTAAGGAGTGACTGGGCCTTGGTCAGGGTGGCTCAGTGGATAAGTGCACTTATCCCAAGCCTGATGGATGGCCTGAGTTTGATCCCTGAAACTCACATAGTAGGAGAGAAATATCACACACACACACACACACACACACACACACACACACACACACACACACACACACACACACACACACACACACACACACATTACAAAAATCCCCGTATGAGTGACTATTGCTAGTATGTTCTTGACTTGGCCACCAGGAGGCGCTCTGAGGACAGCGTTCACCAGTGTGCAGACAAATGTCCCTTTGCTACCCCACAGCTTTGGCAGTTCGGGCAGTGGATGAACGTGGTGGTGGACGACCGACTGCCCACGAGGAATAACAAGCTGGTGTTCGTGCATGGCGCCCAGCGCCAGGAATTCTGGAGCGCCCTCCTGGAGAAGGCCTATGCCAAGTAAGTGGCCCAGACCAGGGACCAGACAGGCGGCCTTCAGGACCTCGGGCCGGGCCACTCACTGAACCAGGGGAGGAGACAGGGCACAATCAGGCACGTCTCTCTTCCCTCACCGTTCTTCCCGACGGCTCCCTCCAATGCACGTCTGCAGCCCGGAGCTCAACAGCGCCCTGTCTGCCTACAGGCTGAACGGATCCTACGAAGCGCTGGCAGGAGGCAGCACCATAGAGGGTTTCGAGGACTTCACAGGCGGCGTGGCCCAGAGCATCCGGCTCCGGAAGCCCCCTCACAACATGCTAAGGCTCCTCAGGAAAGCCCTGGAGAAGTCTTCCCTTATGGGCTGTTCCATCGAAGTAAGCCAGGCTGGGTCTTGCCCCACCCTACCCGGAGGCTCTCTCCCCAGACGTCTTCTCACTCGGTACCCGTCTCTTGAACAAGTTTTGTCTGCCTCTGGTCCAGAGTGTCTGTCCCCACCTGGCATATCCTCTGCTTTGTTGTGACTTTCTCCTCAGGGTTTTCTGTGACCTAGAGAGAAGGGAGGAGATTCCAGGAGGGCAGTGACCTTTATTCGGTCCATTTGCCGCTGGACCCTGGGACTTTGGACGACACCCAGCGCGCAATAAGCACCCGACAAATATTTATTCAAATAAATAACTGTACCCAGAATGCTCCCATATACCAGCAGTTACATGCGGGGAGGGAGTTACTGACAGGGAGGAGGAGGAGAGGAAGAAGGGCTTAGTCCCCACAAAGCCTGCACACAAATGCTTGTGGCAACTCTACTCACAATAGTGAAAAGAGCGATCTAGTTGTCCTTCTGCAGGCGAATCACAATAATTGTCTGGTTTTAAAAACTGATTGTTGGGGCTGGAGAGATGGCTCAGCGATTAGAGCACTGACTGTTCTTCCAGAGGTCCCGAGTTCAATTCCCAGCAACCACATGGTGGCTCCCAACCACCTGTAATGAGATCTGGCGCCCTCTTCTGGCATGCAGGCATACTTGCAGACAGAACACTATACATAATAAATAAATAAATCTTAAAAACAAAACAAAACAAACCTGATTGTTATTCCCCACAGAATAGAAACAACAGCAGCCCCAATAAATTGTAATCTGCTTCTATATGACCTTCTTGTGATGGCAGCATTGTCCTGGACAGATTAGTGATGTTCAGGGGAGGAGGGAAAGGAGGGAGGAGGGAAAGGAGGGAGGAGGGAAAGGAGGGAGGAGGGAAAGGAGGGAGGAGGGAAAGGAGGAATGAACCTGGCTACAGAGGCCGTGTGAGAGATGCTTGTAGTAAGAACATGCTGTTTATCTTGACTTTGGTGATGGATTTATGAAACTACATATGTAATGCACAACCAATCACAAATGACCAATAAGAAGAAGGGGCTGGGGAGGTGACTCAGTGGTTAAGAGCACTGGCTGGTCTTCCAGAGGACCCAGGTTCAGTTCCCAGCACCACATGATGGCTCACAACCACCTGTAACTCCAGTTTCAGGGGATCCAATGCCTTCTTCTGGCTTCCTAGGGCACCAGGCACACATGTAATACACAGACAAACATGCAAATAAAACACTCATACACATGAAATAGAAGATAAATATCTATTTATTTTAAAGACAATGACACTCAGTGTCTTTCTCTGGCCATCCCACATGAGCATATACACCACACACACATACAAATAGGTGACTGCTATGGTGTGTGTGTGTGTGTGTGTGTGTGTGTGTGTGTGTGTGTGTGTGCATATATATGTAAACTATAAGCAAGGTGTGGTGGCTCATGTCTATAATCCCTCCAGAGGCTGAGGCAGGAGGATCAGGAGTTTAAGAATAGTTGGATCGTCATGGTTACATAGGGAATTTGAGACCCTTAATGCCATGTTAAACATCTCCGTATGTGTATATAATGTGTGTTATGAGTCACATAAAACAATGGCTTTCTTGTGATTTCCAGACCAGATCTCAAATGCCATCCATCCCTTCCTCCTTTTCTGTAGATCACCAGCACTAGTGACTTTGAAACGATGACCCATAATATGCTGGTGAGAGGACACGCTTACTCAGTAACTGGCCTTGAGGACGTGAGTGCAGGCAAATGGTGTCCCTGGAGAGCCACGGTATGTGAGGGCCACCACCTGCCCACGTCCTGAACTTCCACGCCTCTCCCCCAGGTCTACTACAGAGACAAGGTAGAAACCCTGATTCGGGTCCAGAATCCCTGGGGCCGGATTGAGTGGAATGGAGCCTGGAGTGACAGGTAGATGTCCTGACCCAGGGGAGGGGAACAGAAGACACAGCAGGACCCACATGGAAGCCAGTGTCACCGTGGGACCAGCCCTTGTCCCCATGCTGCTCCGTTTACCAAGCACTCTGGAGGTGGCCTTCAGAACATCCCTTAGGGAGGAAGAGTGGCAGAGTGGCTGCCCTTCCCTTCCGCTGTTTTCTCTCTGCAGAGCCAGGGAGTGGGAAGAGGTGAGTGTGGACGTCCAGCTACAGCTGCTACGAAAGAAGGAAGATGGGGAGTTCTGGTCAGTGAGGCTTGGGGGGGGGGTGCGTCGGACTCCCCATACACATCCCTCATCTCCCGCACCATCCTCTCCACTGGACTGGGAATGGGGAGGTCCCTCCACAGTCAGGGGCTGCAGGTGCGCCCGCGGAGTGTGCCAACAGACAGCGCTGTCTGCTCTCCCACCCCAGGATGTCCTATGAAGACTTCATGAGCAACTTCACGCTCCTGGAGATCTGCAACCTCACCCCTGACGCGCTGTCTCCCTTGGAGTACAAGAGCTGCTGGCACACGACGTTCTATGAGGGCAGCTGGCGGAAGGGAAGCACGGCGGGCGGCTGCCGGAACAACCCCGGTGGGTGTGGGCAACCTGTGGGCACAAGGCCCCAGAGTCAGGGCGGATGAGGGCAGAGTCAGTCGGATGCCACGGCCTTCAGGAAAGGAGGCAGATGTATGGCTGGAACCTCGGTGCACCCGAGTCACGGACGGACGGACGGAAGGCCCTGCCCCAGCATAACCACCTCGACCCGCATCTCCCACAGAGACGTTCTGGAGCAACCCCCAGTTTAAGATCTGTCTCCCGGAGGAGGACGACCCAGAGGACAACTCTGAGAAAAGCGAGGTGGTCTGTACCTGCCTGGTGGCCCTGATGCAGAAGAACTGGAGACATGCGCGGCAAGAGGGAGCCCAGCTGCTCACCATAGGCTTCGTCATCTTCTCGGTGTGCCTCCAGGGTCCCCAGCCACTTGTGCTTCCCCTCTGGCCTCTCTTCTTTTTTTTTTTTTTTTTTGCCATGTAGACCAGGCTAGCCTCAAACCCAGAGATCCACCTGCCTCTGCCTCCCCAGTGCTAGGATTGAAGGCTTGCACCACCTCTTTAAGACCCTTCTTCCCCTGGACCCCTGTGAGAGTCAGCCCCCAAAGCCACACAGCCCTGCCGCTGAAGCGCTGAAGTGGTGGGGTCTTGTGCTTTTCCTGAGCCTCTGTGCAGGCTCACTCTCTCTCTCTCTCTCTCTCTCTCTCTCTCTCTGTCTGATGTTTTGTCTGCATACATGTTTGTTTACCACATGCATTCCTAACACCTGCAGAGATCAGAGAATAGAATAGTCTCAGTTCCACTGGAGCTGGAGTTACAGATGGTTGTGAGTCACCATGTGGATTCTGGGAATCAAAGCAGGCCCTGGGGCTGGAGAGATGGCTCAGAGGTTAAGAGCACTGACTGCTCTTCCAGAGGTCCTGAGTTCAATTCCCAGCAACCACATGGTGGCTCACAACCATCTGTAACGAGATCTGGTGCCCTCTTCTGGCCTGCAGTCATACATGCTGTATACGTAATAAATAAATAAATCTTTAAAAAAAAAAAAAAGCAGGCCCTCTGCAAGAGCAGCCAGTGCTCTTCACCACTGAGCTAGCTCATCAGTCCGGCCCCTGACTCTGTTCCCTCTTCATAGATTTGTTTGTTTTATTTGTCTTTGGAGACAGGGTTTCTCTGTGTAACAGCCTTGGCTGTCCTGGATCTCGCTCTGTAGACCAGGCTGGCCTCGAACTCACAGAGATCCGCCTGACTCTGCCTCCCGAGTGCTGGGATTAAAGGCATGCGCCACCACCGCCCGGCGGTTTTTTTTTTTGTTGTTGTTTTTTTCTATTAACCTACCACACCAACTACCCTTTCCTTTGTGGCAGGCATCACCCCAAAGAGCCGGTACATGACACTTATGATTGCCCTTAGCGGACAGGGAGGAGACTGAAGGCAGGCGAGATGAGGTGACCACACTAGCTCACACACTGAAGCGGCAGGGGTGGAGGCTGTGTCCTGATTCCTGAACAATGGTCTTCAGCAACTTCACACTCCCCCACCCAAATGTGGCCCCAGCCACTCCAAAACCGCTCACTGCAGAGGCCAAAAGGCGTCCCCAGTCTGTGTTTCTCAAGACCAGTCATGATTTGCAAGATCCCAGACATGCCCATCCAGTCATTCCCTTATGTATTCAACACGTATGGAATACTGTGCAGTCTCCTACTGAACATCAAGTCCCTGGCTAGTCCCCGGGCACTCAGTAGTGAACAGAGTTAGTGCTTGCTCACCAGCATGTGTGACAGCCCTGGCTCCACCCCAAGGGGAGAACAGAAAGGGGGTGGAGCCAGGGCGGCTTTTCCTCTGTGGCTAATACACTCTTCCCAAGACAGGAAGGCCAAGGTTTGGGGCCAGTAAGAAGGCTCAGCGAGGAAAGGCATTTGCCTCTAAACCTGACACCCTGACCTTAATCCTCCAGCCCCAGGGTGGAAGGAGAAAGCCTACTCCCTCAGGCTGTCACAGCAAGCACACATTCACAAAGAAAATAAAATGTAAAAAAAAAAAAAAGTCGAGGCTGGGGGCTGAGCACCTGTTGCTCTTCCAGAGGGCCCGAGTTCAGTTCCCAGCACCCACAGGGTGGTTTGCAACCTCAGGAATGTCCATACAAACACGCAGGCAACACATTCACAAACATAAAATAAATCTAAAAAAAATTTTTTTTTCCTAGATAGAGGTTCTCTGTGTAACAGCCCGGGTTGTCCTGGATCTTGCTCTGCAGACCAGGCTGGCCTCAAACTCACAGAGATCCACCTGCCTCTGCCTCCCAAGTGCTGGGACTAAAGATGTGTGCCACCACCTGGCTCTAAAAAGAATTTTAAAAGTCCAAGGTCAATGCTCACTTCAGCCGCACATGACGACGCTAAGGAGCTTAGCACGGCCCCTGCACAGGACAATGAGAAAACTCTTGAAGCTGTCCTTATTTCTCCATACTGAGGAGCAGAAAGTTGTTGTGAAAGTTCTGAAGGCACAAAGTCAGAAAGATAAAGTAATAAAATAAATATGGAGCTTTTTAAGTAATAAAAATCAAGCCTTGTTAAAAAAAAAAAAAGTCCACCGTTAAGAAAGGTCAAGGGAGACTGTGCCCAGCCTGAGTGCCCCAGCACATCTGCTAGGGTGAATGTGCTATGCGCCAATAAACTGTGTGCTGGCCTGTCTGTAATCTTAGCACTCGAGAGGCAGAGGCTGGAGGATTATCATGAGTTGCAGGCCAGCCTAATCTATACAGCGAGACCCTGTCTCAAAACAAGATAAACAAAGGTGCTCACAAGCCCTGCAGTGGGGCCACATCCCTAATCTGTTTCTGTTGGTATAACTGAATACCACTTAATTTATAAAGAGATCACTTAGCCGACTATCCTGTCAGTCCAAGAACACGGTGACGGCATCTGTTTGGCGTCTGACGGCGGCTCTCCTGCTGGGTTGTGACATACTAAAGAGCATGATGAGAAAAGCCAGTGCTCCATTTTGGTTTTTGGTTTTTGGTTTTTGTTGTTGTTGTTTTGAGACAGGGCCTCATGTAGCCTAGGCTGCCCCCTGATCCTCCTGCTTCTGCTAAGTGTTGGGATTATAAGCATGCACACCACATCTAGCCCCTCTGACCTCCCTCCACCCCTCTTCTCCCTCGTTCACCTATGCATGTATGCACGGAGTCGGTTCTTAACTTGCTACCTTCTTGGGTCACGGTCTCTCTTTGTTCCCGCTGCGACACAGGCTCCTCCAGGCTGGCAGGTCTGTGCGCAGCCAGTGTTCCTGTTGTCCCCACCTCCCATCTCACCACCTGAGTCCTGGGACTGCAAATGTGCACTAGTCTATCTGACTCCCCAACACACACACACACACACACACACACACGGTTTTCTCCTTGTAGACCAGGCTGTCCTGGAACTCCCTCTGTAGACCAGGCTGTCCTGGAACTCCCTCTGTAGACCAGGCTGACCTGGAACTCCCTCTGTAGACCAGGCTGACCTGGAACTCCCTCTGTAGACCAGGCTGACCTGGAACTCCCTCTGTAGACCAGGCTGACCTGGAACTCCCTCTGTAGACCAGGTTGGCCTAGTTCTTTAAAGTGGGTTCCAGGAGTGCTTGCTTCAGCAATTCATGTACTAAAATTGGGGGAACGTGGGTTCCAGGGATTGAACTCAGGTCACTAGCCCTGAGTGGCAAATGCTTTTGCTCACTAAGCCATTTTCCTGGTCCTTTCCTCCACTTCTTATAGAGCCACTAATGCCATCACAGGCCCAGGCCCTTACTCTCATGACCTCATCTAATCCAAAATCATCTCCAAATGCCATTGACACGTGACCTTGGTATTTATTAAGTTTCCATGTAAGTTTTAGAATGACAGACACCCAAACTTTGGCAATCACCTATTTTATTTGATCTGATTTAATTCATCTTGTGCGAACTTATTTGAAAATACTATTTTTTAAATTTCATTTGGTTGAGACAGAGTCTCTTTATGTAGCCCTAGATGGCCTGGAACTGGCTATGCAGACCTGGATGGCCTCAAACTCACAGAGATCTGCCTGCCTCCACCTCTCATATGAGGGGATCAAAGGTGTGCACCACCACACATGTAAGAACTTTAACTTTGAATTATGTGTATGTGTCTCTGTGTGGGTATGTGCACACAAATGAAGGCGCCTACAGAAGCCAGAAGAATCCAGAGTTCAAGGCCAGCTTCGGCTACATAGTTAGAGACCGGCCTGGGCTACAGGATACCCTGTCTCCAAAAATCAAAACAAAACAAAAACTAGGGATGTACCTCATGTGCAAGAAGCCCTGGGTCCTGTCCCCAGCAATGCATGAAACTGGGCACTGTGGCACACGTCTGTTATCCCAGCACTTGGGAGACGGAAGCAGGAGGACCGGAAGTTCAAAGTCATCCTCTGCTACGTGGCAGATTCAAAGCCTGGGCTACGGGGGGCGGGGCAGGGGGAGGCAAACATTCCAATGTATTTGCTCCTCAGTCTCAGTAGCCACTACGCCATTCCTGTAGGTGACGCTCTGTGAAGTGACATCGTAGCAGCACACTCTTGGGCTCACATCCCAACTCTCTTTGCCTTTTCGCAAATCATCCCTGCCTCTCCAGGACTCTATCCCCTGTCCTTAGCCCAGAGTGATAAAAATCTGCCTTTGTAAACTTTGTGCAAACTGTACTTTGAAATCCCAAACGGACAAATTCTTAATGCCAACAGCCTACACCCCCCCCACCACCATTGCTCCAGTGCCCTGACAACCCCAACCCAGGCTCACACTTGTGCTCACATGCTCATGCACACACACAGTGCACACTCACCTAGTTGAAGGCTAGAGCCCCTTCACTGCCCTGAAGATATGACCCTCTCTTTTCTTTTCAGGTCCCAAAGGAGGTACAAAAGGCTTACTCCTGGGCAGGCGTCCAGCTCACCCCTGGCTGCATGTGGGTTGAAAGGGGGGTGATCTGGAGAATAGTTCTGGGGAACCCTGAGTTAGGAGTCCAACCCCTATGACCCAACGGAGGGAGTCAGGGAAGGGTGAGACCATACTGGAGTTTTTGACTTCATGGGAGGAGTCCAGGCCACAGCAGTGGTACTCATACCCACCACCAATCCTGCCCCCAAAATGGATCACTTTGGGAGATCCATTCTCCTGGTGCTCCTGTGCTAGTCCCGTACCCACCTCCAGGGTACATACAGTTTCAGAACCTCCAGGACATCCATCTGAAGAAAGAGTTCTTCCTGAAATATCGGGACCATGGCTTTTCAGAGATCTTTACCAACTCACGAGAGGTGAACAGTCATCTTCGGCTGCCTCCAGGGGAATACATCATTATCCCCTCCACCTTTGAGCCCCATAAAGATGCTGACTTCCTGCTTCGGGTCTTTACGGAAAAACACAGTGAGACCTGGTGAGGGCCGACCTCACTTTGGCGAGGTTCCCTGCCCAAGGGGTGGAGGATGTCAGGTCCTGGCCCTCCTCCACGTCAAACCTATTTTACATGCAGGTCAACTGAGGCATGAGGATGTGAGGTCTAAACTGGTAATAGAAACAGTAAAACCAGAGCCCAGCTTTGATGGGTTATTCAGTACTGCTCCATATACAATGACAGGACCTTCCCCAGGTCACCTCATTGAGAACCTCATCTCTCTGGCCCCCAGTCACCCTAAACCTTCACTCTCTTATGCCCAGGTTGCTGGATGAAGTCAACTGGGCTGAGCATTTCCAAGAGGTAATAGAAAGCTTTGGGATTGAGGGGTTGAGGGTGTGAAGGATGTTTCTGAGACTGGCTCCCTCCCTCCCCGGCTTCTTTTCCCCAGGAGACCATCTCTGAGAAGGATTTGGACCAGGACTCCATCCATTTGTTTGAGATGGTGGCAGACAAGGTGAGAAGGCCAGGGGCAGAGGCTGAAGGGAGGTGGCCACTAGGCCAGAGGGGCAGAGGAGATGATTCCAGTCTCTCCTCCTAGGACAAGGAAGTAGATATGTATGAGCTACACAAGCTCCTCAACAAGCTGGCGAATAAATGTAAGTGGTCCACCCCACCCTCAGAGTCCATCCCTATGACGGTCACCCCATCTTGTCCCACACAGCATTTCTCCTTTACTTCTTCCTCCACCTTGCCTCCCTCACAGTCAAGAACTTCAAGACTAGAGGCTTTAGCTTAGATGTCTGTCGCCGTATGATCAACCTCATGGATGTATCCTTCTGCCCTGCGGCAATCTTAACCAATATTTCCCATCTTCGCTGCCCTCCAAGGCTGACTCAGAAGTGGCCATCTCTCCAGCCAGCCTCAGGACCCTCCTTTGTGATAGGGGTTAGATTTGGTGGGTAGCTAAAGATTCCACTTCTGGCTGTTAGTATTCAGGGACCCCAAGCCTGTGTCCAGGCCTTCTGTTCCCTTACCCTTTGGATGCCTCTTCACTCTTATCCTTGACTAGTCCCTCTAGAAAGATGGCACTGGCAAGCTGGGTCTTCTGGAGTTCCAGATTCTGTGGAAAAAGATCAAGAAATGGACGGTAAAGAGCCCGGAAGAGACAGCCAAGAAGGGTGGGAACTACCAATGAAGCCATTACAACTGAAAACACACAGAGACACACACAACACACACACACACTGGTTAGTAACCGTATAGCCTGGCATAGTCATGGTGCCTGCAGAAGGCACTGGGCAGGGTACCAACATCCCCTTGCCCTCAACCACGAGAAGACAGGAACATTAGAGATTCAAGTGGTTGGTCAGGGTGGTGGGGCCCCAGGGTCTTGGGCAGCTGTTTAAGTCAGTCATACTGCACTATTCTCTTATTTCAACCACCATGCTATACATGCGGCCCGATGACATCTGTCTCCAGGACATCTTCAAAGAGTGTGATGAAGACCGCTCCGGGACCTTGAACTCCTACGAGATGCGCTTGGCAATAGAGAAAGCAGGTGGCCAGGGAGCATGAGGCTGTCCAGAGACAGGGAGCTGGGAAGTCAAGTCTAGGGGCCTGAATTCTGCCTCCCCTGCCCCATCTGTCTCCTAGGCATTAAGATGACCAATAAGGTAACTGAGGTGGTGGTGGCTAGGTATGCGGATGATCAAATGATCGTGGACTTTGACAGCTTCATCAACTGCTTCCTGAGGCTAAAGGCCATGTTTGGTGAGTGCAGCACCTGCCCCCCTCCAGCTTAGGCCAGGCAGCCTGGCTTGCTCCCACACCCACTCACCCTGAGGTCTTTCTGGAGAACCACTCCACACAGAAAACACAGCAGACCCAAGTTCAAATCCACAACTTGCTGGGGCCGTGCCTATTGTCTGTACCCCTCCCCCCATTCCTTTCTCTAGAAGATATGATAACGAATGGTAACAGTTCTGCCCCAGGGGCAGAAAAATCAGGAGTTCAAGGTCACCCTCAGCTACAGAGTGAGCACGAGGTCAGCCAAAAGACCCTGTCTCAAAAAATAAATCAAAATAAAACTATTATCCCAAGAATGGATCGGGTGGCCCATACTTATACTACTTGAAATTTGGGAAGTTGAGACAGGAGGATCACAGGTTTGAGGCAACCTCAGCGGCTTAGTGAGACTTTGAGTTAAAACAAACAATAGGGAGAGCAAGCTGGCTAAGTATATAAAAGTGCTTGCTACCAAGACTGAAGACCTGAGTTCGATTCCCAGGGCCCACACGGTGGAAGGAAAGAACCAATGATCACAAGCCTGACCTCCACAGGTGCAAGCTGTGACATGTGGTCACCTGCATACCCCTCCCACATCCAATAAATAAATAAGTGTAAACCAATAATAAGTCAGTCCTGGCCCCATCTCCCCAGCACTCTAGTACAGAGTAAATGAGTCTGGGGCAAGCGCTCACAACCGGGCCTGGCTCTTAGCCAGTTGTGACGTTTCATTCCTGATGGGCAAGGAATAACTTCCTATCTTCCCAAGTTTCTCCTTTTCGGGGGAGTGGGTCGTTTAGACCATCATCTCGGCGCTAACCCCTCACCCCACCTTTCCCTTAAAACAGCATTCTTCCTATCCATGGACACCCAGAAAACTGGTTCTATTTGCTTGAATATGGAGCAGGTACGTGGGAAGGGGTGGGGAGGTTGGTGGGGCCACAGACGGTCCCTCCCTCTAGTCCTGTCCACTCTCCATCCTCTGCAGAATGTCTCTGTTCTCTGCTCTCCTTGCAGTGGCTGCAGATAACCATGTGGGGCTAGGGAGATTCGGAGCCTGCCCCCCCTTCTGCCGGTGGTGCTCCAGCCAGGATGGTGGGTGCTCCTTGTCACCCTCACTCTCCAGTGCCCCAGACAGTGTTTACTCTGTGCCCAGGCTCCAGGCTCACCGGAGCTCTAACCCCCAACCTCACCCCACCCACCCCTGAGCACTCCCATGCTCTGAGTGTTTTGACTGAAAATTAGGTGGACTCCTCCCCGGTTTTCCCTGGGGAAGGCAGCCTTGCAGTCAGCTTAGTGTCCCCATATGCTATCAACTCACGCCTGTCTTCTTGCTGCGAGGATTTCCATTGCTCCTCTCCCCCACCCCAACCCCCGCCACGGACATTATTCTAATAAACAGGACATGGTTTGCCACTTCCTCAACACCAAAGAGGGGATCCACTGTATGCCTGGGAAGCATCTACAGATGTGTTTGTCACAATTACTAAGGGGCACTCCACCGTCCCAGGATGCTAAACGCAGCCCAGTCCCACGCCTATGAGAAAGTTAGGAACTATTAGGTGGGTTGAGCAATGTGGGGTGAGGGGCACCACTGGACCAGCTGCCAGCCAAACCTGAGCTTGGATTGGCAAAGCCAGAGGCTACAAGGCCCTGAGCCGACTCTGGCCTCCTCTCCCTCAACCTGGAGCCCTTCCAAATACGGCACTGCCGGGCAAGAGCCAGACACCAACAAGTCACACAAGGAGGGGTCCCTGGTGTGAGACTGGAGGTCTCTCTTCCTGCCGCTGCACAGGCTACTTCAGGCCCGCTGGCCTGGGAGCAGCTGCTGTTTCTGCTGTCTCCCACTCCCCATCTCCCCACCAAAGAGTACTTGGCTTGCAGATGTGCACCACCTTATCTGGCTTTTTTGTTTTGTTTTGTTTTGTTGTTTTTTTGAGACAGGGTTTCTTTGTAGTTTTGGTCCCTGTCCTGGATCTCACTCTGTAGACCAGGCTGGCCTCGAACTCACAGAGATCCACCTGGCTCTGCCTCCCGAGTGCTGGGATTAAAGGCATGCGCCACCACCGCCCGGCTATCAGGCTTTTTAAAGTGAGTTCCTGGGATCAAACTCAGGTCATCACGGAGTGGCGAGGGCTTCCCCCAACTAAGCCATCTTCCTGGTCCTCTCTTCCTCTTTCAGAGCCAGAAATGATGCCATCATAGAACCTTCCTCTCATGACCCCAGCCTCCTAGACAGGACTACCCCACTTCCCTTAGACTAAACTTGTGTTCCACAGAACAACTGGAATTGGAATCCTCTCCGGTCCAAAGGAAACTCCGTTTCCCCAAATTTTGGTGGATAGGCAAAGCCAGCATTCCTCAGGAACTCGTGAAGCCAGTTCCCCTCTACCAAAACGAGCAGAAGGGACAAATGTTTATCTGTGGTGCCTATTAGCACACCCAAGCTCATGGTGGCCTTCGGGCTCCCTCTGTATCACAAGTACCTGTGACACATTTCAGAGTCCACACCGGCATCCTGACTCTTCTCAGGTCTTTTTACCCCCACCCTCCTCCCAAACTTCCTCCGGCTCATGGGCTTTCCTCCCAGGCTTAGCTGCGGCTCTCCTCATCTAGCCCTGGTATTTTGGCTGTGTCTCTCTCTTGTCTTCCTCTCTTTTGTCTTCCCCTCTCTTTACCCACTCTTTTGCTCTCTCTTTGGCCCATTCTCTCTCCGTCTTCCTCTCAGTCCCCTCTCTCTCTCCCATCTCCCTCCTCCGCCTCTCTCTGCTGGCCATGTTTAATCTACTGCTTTCTCACTCTGCTCTGCACTGCTCGGATGCCTCTGGCTGTTCTCTCCCTCATATCTACAATAAAAAAACGTCCCCTCAACCATACCATAGAGCGGCCATGTTGTCCATTTACAGTTTCCAGTTTCTGCCCACAGTAGGGCTGGGTACTTCCCACTGGTGTTGGCCGGGCCCACCCTGGTAGGCTGTGGGGACAAGAGGAATTCCCATCCTTTTAGAGCCCTCCTGGTTCTCCAGCCCCTCCCTTGCTCCTTTGGCAGCCTGCACAGGGCTTCCTCCATCTAGGCCACACCCGGCTGTCTCCTGAGGAACTGTTTCCTATCCTGCCATCCCCTCGCCTTCCTCTCTGTGTCCCTTCCCATGTGCTAGGTCACACTCTCAAGGGAGCCTCTGAAAGTGCTGTGCCTGCCTTCCCTTTGAGTGAGGCAGCTGCCTGTCCTCTGCAATGCTCTCTCCCTAAAGAGCTCGTCTCCCTGGGGATGGCAGGCAGCTCAGTGACGTTCTAAAACTAGCAGGTCATTTGAACTGTCAAGAGGTCCCCACCAGAGCAGGGCATGGTGGCGCACCCCTTTAATCCCAGCATTTAGGAGGCAGAGGCAGCCGGATCTCTGAGTTCGAGGCCAGCCTGGTCTACAGAGTGAGTTCCAGGACAGCCAGGAATACAAAGAAACCCTGTCTCAAAAAAAAAACCAAACCAAAAACAAACTTCCCAACTGTCTCAGAACCCAGAAGCTGCTGCCTCCACCATGAGTCCCTCTCCCTGGGGTGAAAACTGCTTTAGATCACAATGGAAGAGAAAGCAGAGAACCCCGGAAGCAGGACTCCACTAAAGTGATGGTTTTTGTTTTGTTTTGTTTTTTGTTTGCTTGTTTTTCAAGACAGGGCTTCCCTGTGTAGCCCTGGCTGTCCTGGAGCAGGCTGGCCTTAAACTCACAAAGATCCGCCTGCCTCTGCCTCCCAAGTGCTGGGATCAAAGGCGTGAGCCGCCACCGCCCAGCATTTGTTTTCGTTTTCGTTTTGTTTTGGTTTTTGTTTGTTTTTTAATTTGAAGGGGCTAGAGATGTAGCACCGCTGGGAGAGTACTTACCTAGCATGCACAAAGCCACGGGTTCTATCCCCAGCACCACACAAGCCAGGCATGGTTCTATCCCCACTACCACAAGCCCGGCACTTGGGAGGCAGAAGCAGGAAGAGCAGAATTGAAGGGCAACCTGAACATAGCTGGCTGGAGGCCAGTCTGGGCTACTTGAGACCCTGTCTCAAAATAAACAAATAAAACAACAACTTGTATTGTGTATTTTGTGTGTGTGGGGGGGTGTGTGTGCACATGTGTTGGTGTACACACAGGCGTGGGTGTGCTTGTGCAGTGGTGCACGTGTGCAGGACAGAGGCCAATTTGTGGAGGTAGTTCTTTCCTGCCACCGTGTGGGTTCTAGCCCCTGAACCGAGGTCATCAGGCAACAATACCCACTGAGCCATCTCGATGGTCCTAATTATATTTTTATTAACGCAGTAATTGTACAGTGTGCATGTTAATAATATATGTGTACAACATTAAATCAGGGTAACTGGTGTGCTACTGTTCCAGACCTCTGCCACCTCTTTGTGCTGGGAACATTTCAAGTCTTCTCTGCTGGCTGTTTTGAAATTCTATTAAATGTTGATAACCAGGACTATCACTTCCTGTTGTAACAAAACTGGATAGACTCAGAAATGTACTGCAAATAAAGGCGCTGAGATGGTTAATCATGAATGTCAGCTGGATGGGATCCAGGGTCTCCATGGAAACCGACTTTTGAGTGTCTGTGAATTCCTAGATTAGGTTAGCTGAGGTGGGAAGACACACCCTGAATGTGGGCGGCACCATCCCCATGGGTCAAGATCCTAGATGGAATCAGAAGGGTTGAGCCCCAGCATCCGCTGCTCCCTGACTGTGATTGCTCAGCTGCCTCTTGCTCTCACTGTTATGCCTTACCCCTTCACCCTCCAACCTGTCCTAAAGCTGTTTCTGTCCCATATGTGCCCCCAGCAGAGAAAACTAAGACAGGCCGCAGGGCAGCATCACATCACTGGTGCTCTCAGGGTAGCCTTGGACGTGAACTTCACATCTCTCACTGTCTCCCTTCAATTAGGAGTCACAGTGTCTACCTTAAAAGAATGTTATAACAGCTGAAGCTATGAAAATGAAGCTCTTGGGCCAGGTATGGGGCTGTACCTCTCTGAGCCTGGTACTAGGGAGGTAGAGGCAGGAGGATCAAGGCCAGCCTAGGCCACATGGTAAGTTGGAGGCCAACTTGGGCTATATGAGACCCTGTCTTTAAAAAATAAAAATCCCTTGTGTACATGACTTTTTCCTCACTTAAATATTATCTGTGTAACTGTAACAGTAGAAAAAAAACCAGGAGGGGGTGGCTGGAGAGATGAGTCTGTATTTAAGAGTCACGTTGCTCTTGCAGAAGACCCAAATGCAGTTCCCAGTATCCACTTCGGGAGGTTCCCAACCACTTGCGAACCCAGCTCCAACACCAAAGCCCTCTTCTGACCTCTGGGGGCTCTTGCTGTCACACACACACACACACACACACACACACACACAATTGAAAATAAAATCTTTTACAAAGAAGAAAACTGGGGCTTGAGAGACGGCTCAGCAGTTAGAAAGTGTACCACTCTCAAAAAGGACCTGAGTTTGACTCCCAGCACGCATCCTGGGCAGCTCACACAACCACCTGTGACTAGTTCCAGGGGATCCGTACAAAACTACACATAAGGTGGGTGTAGCTCGGGAGGCAGAGGCAGGCAGATCCCTGTGAGTTTGAGGCCAGCCTGGTCTATATAGTGAATTCCAGGAAAACCAGAGCTGCATAGTAAGACCCTGTCTCAAAAATATGAAGAAGAAAAAAAAAAAAAACCACACACAGATATATACAAAATACATAATTTTTGTTTGTTTGTTTGTTTGTTTTTGTTTTTTCAAGACAGGGTTTCTCTGTGTAGCTTTGGAGCCTGTCCTGGAACTCACTCTGTAGACCATAGACCAGGCTGTCCTCAAACTCACAGAGAGCCGCCTGGCTCTGCCTCACGAGTACTGGAATTAAAGGCAGGAGCCACCACCACCCGGCCTGCTAAAATAAATCTTTTAAATAAGGAAAACAGAAAACAACATTAGATTACAAATATAATAGATATTACACATGAAAAAATACTAAGCCCTTGGACTCAACATCATAGACCGCATGAGGTCTATAGTATACA